AGGAACACCCTGGCATTAGACACATCCATAGTGTGAACAAGATTTTGAGGACAGTAAGAATATTTCACTGTAATGGGACATTTCTCAAAAGTCACGGGTTGGAAAACCATGGCCCGCAGACCCGTCACTGTTTTTCTAAACAGAGATTGGCTGGGACAGGGCCATACCCCATTGTTGACGACAGCCTCTGGCTGCTCTCATGGGAGAAAGGCGAAGTTGGGAAGTTGCTACAGAGGCTGTTGGGCAGCAGAGTCAAAATGTTCACGGGGTGGCCCTCTCAGAGAAAGCCTGCTGTCCCTGCCCTGCTCTAAGCGATGCACTACCCACCTCCAATCCACAGGTGACACAGGTATCACCTACACTTGTGCTGCTGAGTCCTTCTGAACCAAGCTTAATTCAGTTCCGGGTATTGAATAACAATGGTTACCTACTCAGCCTCTATATGATGATGGTCTGTTCAAAAAAATGTTAAGCTTTTTTTTTTTTTTTTTAAGTTCCTTTTTTCCTTGGAGCGGATCCTACCTGGATCCTTCCATGTGACAGATTTCGTGAGGGGCTGGTCTTAAGAGTTCCATAAAGCTGGGGCCCTGTTTTCTGGAGGAATCAGAGTACAAAGAAATAATTTCAGTACCATTCAGTGAGATGCCAGAGTAGGAGTTGATATCTTCCTATAAAGTGGCCCTTGGGAACCTGACCTTTTCATTCCTTAAAACTTAAAAATTTCAAAATCATAACCACTCTCACTCTCTTGTTTTTTTAAAGAAGCATAAATACTAGAGGTGAAACTAATTCAGTAACTCATTAACTTTTGCAGGAAAGATCAACTTATTGGACTTTTTCATAATTGCCAAATTTGCTCTGGGCTCTCTAATGCACAGTTCTAATCTCTGTGTTGAGAATGGAAAAAAGAAAAGGTATCAAGACATCAAGGAAAATGCGGTCAGTGAAAGAGCAGGACTTTTGTTTTCTAAGACTGAGTTTTTGAATTGGAATCTGTATTAACTGGGTCATATATTAACCTTCGCCTGAAAGAGGCCTAAGGGAGGGAGACAGGGTCCGCTTCCACCAAGATTTCATTACCCACTATCTGTCTTTGCAACTCCAACTAGATATCAGGTGAATTAAGGGGAAAACCATTTTCTACATCCCATGGATATGATGAAATTTGATTATCCCCAGGCAGAGAAAAGAAGACAGAAAATAACGGGTGTTGTTTCACATCTGTGTATCTGTCCTGCCCTGATAACTGTTTGTGTGGGCTATTGACAACGTTTCTGTATCATACAAAGAAGGCTCTTTATCGAGCTGCAGAAGGAGAAACAGGCTGCGTGTGTTTCTAGGGAAACCTGAGCTGGGAAGCTCGCGGGTCTCGACTGGCAAAGCTCGTCCCTGCTCGTGGTGGCCCACCGTGCAGTGACACTCTTCCTCCCCATTCACCTCATCCCATTAAAAAATATTAATGCAACAATGGGAGGTGATTGTTGATGCTCATTACTGAATCATTTATTCATCCCACACAGTGATTCAGAATTATTCATTAGGCTTGCAGGAAGGAGGTTGGCTCGCACCTCCATGGTGGTTTGGGGAGGGATGTGCTCTTTAAAAGGATATTTTATAACAACACAATTATCATAATTAAAAGCTACCCTGAAATTCTGACGAGCTTTTGACATACTTCTGAGCACTGGCATTTTAGCACAAGGGGATAAACGAGCCTGAAATGGTATCAGAGAATGAGATTGCCGCGGCAGGGAGGGGAAGCCAGAGGCACCAGGAAATACCATCTGCCACCATCAACCCCAACTCTATTATAGTCTTTAAGTTCATGGATTTTACAAAATACCACTTGAATGTCTGGCTTTCCAAAGCAAGGTTAAACCACCCAGCTGTCACGTGATTTGTCTCCACATTACTGAATCATGGATGTGACACCCTCCATGAGAGCCCACTCCCCACACTTCTGCTTCCAAACCAAGCAGGTGCCTAGGCCTGCCACAGAACTGTGACCTTGTAGATTCGGATCTCCTCCCAATGTCGCCCAGGTCTGATCTGTGTTTGAAAAGGGTCTGGCTTGGTAAGCCACAGACCTGCTAGGTGACTGCAGGAAGGGCTCCCATCCCTGGGGTCTCCTGGAGAAGCAGGCTGGCCAGGGGCCCAAGACGAGGCACCTTCCCATACCTGGGGATGGTGCCTGGAAGGACAGTAAGTGGGGGCTCTTGGGAAGAGACACTGAAAGCTGAGTGACCATGGGAAGCTAGAATGGGGATGAGAGCAGAGGCAAATGCATAGGTGGCTCTCCAGAGACTACAGCTGTGGAAGCCGGGTGGTGAGTGCTTGACGGTCCAGACACGACACGGAAAGGCTGTGCTCTGTACCTGGGAGGCAATGGGTGCTCGGCCAATAAACAGTTGTGCGGGTCAGCCATTGAGGGCAGGAGCGCGAATCAAAGACTTCACCCCTTCCACCCACAAAGTCTGATGAGGCATTGTCATGAGCTAATACCTGAGCCTGGCCTCCGGGACGCAGAGGTGAAATGGCACTGTCCCCACCCTCGCGCAGCCGCCGGCTGACAGTGCAGCCCTGGCTCATTCATGTCTGCACTTAAAATCCCTCCAACGAGTGCAAGGAGAGCTGAGGAAGAACCTGGGTCAGACAGGGAGAGGACCTCATGAGACGGTGTCATGGGTGAGAGGTTTGGCCAGCTGAAATGGAGGAGGGCGGAGGGCCCAGTGGAGACTTCTGGGAAGGAAGCTATATGCCACAGTGAGGAGCTGGGCCTTTGCCTGGGGGAAGGGGGAAGCTCAGGAGAGCTAAAGACTTTGGCACTCCACACCCCTCTGGCTGCTTGGTGGAGAATGGACAGCAATGATGCAGGAAACCCATCCTGAGCCCTGCTGACCTCAAGAAGTGGACAGGCTGGAGAGATATTCAGGAGGCAAAATTAAAGGGACACAGAATATCAGAGTCTCTAGACAAGGAGGCCCCTGCTGGAGGTGGAGTCGTTGGGATTCCAGAGCAGAGGGTTATGTCATGGAGTGGAGTATGGAAATGAAGCCCTGGCTCCCCACTTAGCTCTGCCTCCGGGAAGAGGCTGTGCTGCCCAGGCTGAGGAGGGCTCAGTCTTGTTGACACTACTCCACTGTCAGCTGTCTGTACTGTCAGCCACTGTGAGCTGGATAACGGGAGCTCACCACAGAGACACAGACCATCTCTGGGTGCTAATGGCGCTGGCTCCTGAGTGTGTAGGGCTGCAGGCCTGACTGTGGAGGGGGCTGGTGCACGCTGGATGTGAGGCTACCTCTGCAGCTGGGGGCAGAGGTAGTCTGCAGGCTTCTCCCAGGGTTACCCTGTTAGAGCTTGAGTCATCTCAGTATCTGGGGGTGCTTCTGGGTGGCCTGGGCTCTGTCCTAGGATGATGGAAAACCCAGAACCACATGCCAGTCAGGAGCATGGTGGACAAGAACAGAGAACAAAGAGCGGTCACAGGACGGCATTTGCATCATTTAACATTTGCTATGAAAGGAATCATTTCAGTGGCGTTAAATGTTCTCTCCGGCTTTATTCTGTCACAAAATAGTCTCCAGCCGAGGTGCTGATGCCATCCTGACACTTCGTTTCCTTGTCATCAAAACAGTTTTTCGCCCCAACTCAAGCATGGCATGAAATTTCAAAGGCCTTAATAGAACTTTTCCAACTGCATCTCCACGGAACAGTTGGAAAATGTCTCCAATTATGGTGCTTTTTGTAAAATGTTTCAAAAATACAGAAGGGCCTATTGTACTTCTCATAAGTAAATGCAAACACATTTAATGCTCAAAGATGAAAAGATGATTCCTTTTAAACTAATCCTTGCTAATGGGTCAGGCCACCTTCCTCCCTGACCCCAGAACAAATGAGTGAATATATTTAAATTTTAGAAGTGTCTGGTACAAGCCAGCCCTGGAAAGATCTGAAAGGAGGAATTAGAACCAAGACATAAAAGACAACACTTGTCAAAGCTGGGACCCTGTCACAGCCCTGGCACTCAGGGAATAAGCCGAGGGTGCGTGGTCCCTTTCTGAGGATGGCTCACAGGAGGTGCTACCGGGAGCAGAAATGAGGGGTGTGGGTTACTGCCACCAAAGTGCCACCAGAAACCGAGATGTGCTCATTTGTCTGTGAGTGTGTGTCACATGGCACGTGTTTGATCAGCCAGAAATGAACATCAAGTCAGGGCTGGTCAGAATACATGTCTCTTTCCTAATTCTGGAAGGGAACTTGAGTCACCTCATTAGAGGAACAGTGATGAGGCCCCAGACCCACCACTGAGGTCCACCCCAGGATTTTCTAGGTTGAATCTGGCTAATGTGGCATGTACTTGGCTTTCAAAGATCATCTGTCCTTGCCAAAGTTCCTCCTTCCCAGTGAAATGGGAAAAGAGGTGTCAGGCATCTTCCCTTCTCCCAAGCACGTGCAGTTTCATTCAGACCTGTCCCTCACCATCAGGAACCACCACCTCCAGGACTCCCATCTGCTCCTGTGAGCAGGTACTAGTGAAGCTCAATTTCTCTCTTTTATTTCTCTGATTGCTAAACACAAATGTCTCTCATTTTCTCCGCTATCTCCATGTTTGGTACTTCGTAGGCTAGGGGCCATTGTATTGGGTCATTGGAAAAATCATCACGTATTTTTCTATGTTTTTTTCTAAGCAAAAATGCACCATGACTTTTTCGATGACCCAATACCTGTTCCACAGGCCTTTTCTCACTCACCGCAGGACCATCCTACAGGAGAGCTGCTTTTCCTAACATATTCCTAAGTAGCAGGGAGATGGAGGCACAGAAAGAGCAGGCGGTTTGTCCAAAGCCACACGGCCAGTGAGCGGTACAGCTGGATCCAGAACCCAGTTCCGTCCAAAGCCCCACCTTCTCTCTCCTTTGTGGGATACAGGGGGGCTGGAGATGATCTAGAAAACCTCCCGAGACCACCTTTCTGCCTAGACACTGGCCCTAGGTTGATACCTGCTCTGGTGAACTTGTCGGCCATCTCCTTGCGCACGGACTTGGTGAGGTTGAAGTAGTCGTCATCTTCGTCGATTCTCTGCAGGAAGAGTGGGATGTGCTGGAAGACGATGGCGTGCCGGCACCTCTGCTGGCCTGCAGCATGCAACTGTTGCTCCAGCCACTGATCCTGAGCTTGCTTCAGGGCAGGGCACTTGGACGCATCGTAGAAGAATTGGGAGTTGAGGACCAGGAACAGAACACCCCCGACCCAGAAGCTGAAATAGTCATCTCCCCAAGTCCGGCAGAACTCCATGACGGTCTCCGTTGTGGGGATGTTGCCCACGTCATGGTTGCCACTGACGAAGACCAGTGGGATGTCCCTGTCAACTTCCCTGAGCACTCGCTGCAGGTCTTCAGTCTGCTCCTTTCGCCAGGCTGTCCCTGAAAGAGTGAGGGTCATGCTCTGAGACGGCTGGAGGTTGTGTTATCTACTAACTTAACATAAAGACAGAATAATCAAGAAACTCACTCACTCAGGCACACAGAAACTGCACAAAGTAGTCACATGCTAAAAGGAAATTAACAAGTGAGGTGGGAACAACAGCTGTCCCTTTGAGCTGAACTACTGTCCTTCCCAGACACCTTGGAGATTTACATGTCAACCTTGGAAGTTCAGTGTCTATGCTGGAAATTAAATGTCTATGTGGCCATCTGCCCCACACCGCTGAGTGATGGAGTCGAGTCCATGCTGAGACTAAATACTAGTGAAGCTCAATTTCTCAATTTCTGATTGCTAAACACAAATGTCTCTCATTTTCTCTGCTATCTCCATGTTCATTTTGTGTACCCAGCTTTGCACACTTGTCCCACATCAAGGGAGGTTTTTATTACCATACCTATGACCTTACTGGTCTGGGGGCACTTTTGTGGAAAAAAAAAAATCCTTACAAACTGAATGGCTAGCTTGACTGGGCATTTTTATCCTGCCAAATGCTCAGCCCCCCCACCCACCCCAGGCAGAGGAGGAGGCAACTTATCTTTTACCAACAGTGTTTGAGAGTGAAGGGTGCAATATCTTAATGTTAAGCATGCCCCTCCTCACCCTTGCAGGATAAGGGATTCAGGGTGGAAATGATTATTTGGACAAAGAGTTGGAAGGTGTGTGGCTAATCAGAATCCTCCTCTTTCATATTTCTGGCTTCTACATTTCCTGTGATAATGTATTAAAGCTTTAATAAAAGGATTTTTAAATGACTGATTCAATTCCACATCTGTTTTTTTCAAGCCTCTCTGTGCTAATTTATTCACCAAATATTTACTGAGTGCAGACTATGTATAAGGCACTGTTTCTGTTACTGGGGCTAAGATATGAGCCAGACAGACACAAAACCTTCCCTTTAAACCAGGAGTCAAATAATTTGTCAAGTAAATTATAGATGCACAGCCATCTATATCAAAACAGGAAAAGGATAGATGTCCAGCCTCATGTTAGTCCTGAGGAGCGTGCTCAGAATCGATCAAAGAAACCCCAAGAAACATGCTGAAAAAGAGCAGCCCAGCTTCTCTGTGGATGATGAAAGCGCACCTAAAAAATGTTGTACGAGCAGATGAATGGTGTACCCAACCTTCCATCATGAATTAAGAGGTAAGCCAAAAAAAGAGCTTAGAAAGCAACTACAGCTAAGAAAGACCACAATGCAGAAATAAATTCAGAGTTGAAGTGGTCATAAAACAGCCAGATGTGAAATAGGAACGGATAGAACTCAGGAAAGAAATGGGGGGGAAAAGAAAGCCATTTCAGAAATGACCACTACAGGGAGATTACTGTTAGCGAGACTTCCCTTACAGCCCAGCGTATGCTGGGTTTTCTGGATCTCCCCTGGGAGCTGGAAAAGAACGTGCATTCTCTTATTGTTGAATACTGAGCTCCTCATACTTCCCCTCAATCAAACGCATAAGTGGTGGGCTTCGAATATCCGGTGTCATGACTTTTCCTTGGGGCTGCTGATCTGTATGCATTTCTGAGAGACTTGGTGAAGCTGCACTGTAACTGTGGATGGGTCTGCTCCTCCCCATTCTGCCAGGTTTCACGTCATTTACCTTTAGTCGCATTGTTAGATGCTAAAGAGTTCGGGATTTGAGGATCTCACCAAAATACTTTTATATTTAATCCTGATTAAAGAAGTAAATAAAAAAGAAAGAGGCAGCTCTATACTGATGCTATGAAAAGATCATTAACATATATTAAGTGGAAAGTGTAGCGTAAGGAATCTGAAAATCCCATGTGAGTAAAATCCCATGTGAGTTGATACACTGTGATGGTTAATTTTAGGGGTCAACCTGACTGGGTTAAGGAATCCCTCGAAAGCAGGAGCAGCATTATTCTAGGTGTCTGTGCAGGTGGGAGCTGGGTGGGCTGGGTGGGCGAGCCCTGCCACACTGAGGTGGGCGTCAGACAGCAGGAGGGCAGGAGGTACTTGGAGGACGCATACAGAAGGCGATCTGTCTTTCGTGGAGAGCAGACAGACTTCTTTTTCTGCTGCCTTGGCCATCAGAACTCAAGGCTCACCAGCTTTTGGACTCCAGGACTCACACTAGCAGCCTCCCCAGTTCTCAGGTTTCAAGTCTTGAATGAAAGTTATACCATGGGCTTCCCTCCTTCTGAGGACTTCGGATGGGGACTGAGCCACACTGCTGGTGTCCCAGGGTCTCTAGCCCACAGAGGCCTGCTGAGGGACTTCCCAGCACCATAATTACAGGAGCCGACTCTCTAATAAATCCCCTCTCGTATAACTATAACATATCCTACTGGTTCTGTCTCTCTGGGGAACCCGAATACACATATATTCATGTATTATGGATAAAATTTCTCCAAAGATTCAAAGAACACTGATAACTCAAGTTAAATGTGGTACACAAGAGCGGGGAGTGAAAGAGATCGATATTTAGTTTAAAACCCCTCCTCCTTTCCTTCCTTCGTCCTTCCTTCTGTACTATTTTTATTAAGGGGGGGCACTTTTAGCCCCAGGCTCCTGGAGTGTAAAGAAGATGCAGAGGAAGCCAGTCAGGCAGCTGCATTCAACCACTTCCAGTCTCTGGGGACCAGTGGGATTTGCTTGGGCAAGGCTGGCTGACTGCCACGGCAAGGACTGTGGCCTGAAGCCCAATCTGCCCAGGTGAGAGCCTCAGCCTCAGGGTTCCTGGCACTGGGAACCAGGTGGCCTCTCTAGTGGCACTGGAGCATCACCTACAGCTAATGTCTGCATGCTGGCTGCCTGGCTGGTCCTGGGACTCCTAGTTTGAAGGTGCCCAGACTGACGTTGCTTCTTTAACTGAACCTGGACGGCAGGCATCCGTGTTCACTTACGTGATCCCCTCAAAGACTCTGCTGGCCAGTATTTTCCTGTGGGAATAGACTGCTAATTTAGGGAAGATGAATCCTCTGTGGTCTTGAACATGATGCACCATCTCCAAGGGTCTCCGTGGACCAAGGTTAATTCATCACACTCTCCTTACCCGGCTTTCTACAACATCCTAAACCATGCCAGCTCTCGCTGCTTTCTACTCATGTTGACATGGAGACTTTTTCTTTTTAAATTTTTTTCTCTTTATTCACAATAAAGTATGTGTGCACACACAGGAGAGAGAGACAGGGAAGAGCATCCTCCCCAGGGTCTGGTCATGCTGCAGTTCCCTTCCTCCAGTCTTCTAGCTAGTTGAATCTTGTATTCTAATGTGTGCTCGAGGTGTTTTAGGCTGACCAGGCCAGGGGTTCGAACTGCAGTCATTGTATGGGATTTGTCTTCTCTTCAGTGGAACATTACCGCAGTGCCAATACTTACCTAGCATTTTCTACAGGCCAGGCACTGTACTAAGAGCCGTCTGTGTATTAACTCACAACAGCTGGGGAGGTGGGATTTGAACTTGGCGTCTAGCACACAGTGTACCTCTCACTAAGTGTGTGCTCTCAATGGAAGTCCCAGTTTCCAGGGTGGCTCTCTTGCTTAGCCTGATCTGCAGTGCAATGGGGAATAGAGTATCTACTACTCTTGATGTTCACCACGCGTCAGGACCTGGCACACTACCAAGGCAGCTGATGCTCTGGAAGAAAGGCTTCCTCACAATGCAGGAGGGAGACCAGGGCTACAAAGCTATGACAAGCTGGGAATTCTGCACAGTGATAGCTTTCCCAGCATTTTCTAGACCTCTCATGTGTGCTCAGGGGCAGCTGGGGTTGGGCCCTTGGTTCATGTCCTTACGAACCGTGTGGCGTTGGGTAAGCAAGCCCCTTGGTTCCGCTGAGGTTTGGTTGCTTGTGTGTGTAAAATGGGGGTGATAATTCCTGGACCTTGGGAGGTGCTGATTCATACCATGAATTTAATAATGTACAGGGCTGGTTCAAACGAGGATGCAAAAGTGTCAGCTGCGGTCCCTCCTCACCCACTTCCACCCAAACATAATGAATTCTTCCTTTTTTATCAGGGAGCCGCAGTGTGTACAAAACACTCAATAAATAATTTTGGAGAAATTAAAACATTCCCCAGGGATACAATTTTTCATCAAGAATTTACAAGTGAAGACGTGAATTCTAGACACAAAAAGGCAAGTTTCATGAAAACACTTGCTTCCTGTTTAACAAGGTTGCGTCTGTGTGCATTGGAATCTCTTTAGGCCAGGATAGCAGCAACGCCTTAGCGCTGGCGTTGCTCACGGCACATCGCAGCACAGCTTCCGAGGACGCAGTCACGGCACCGCAGCAAGTGCACGAGGCCCTGGTCCAAAGCCAGACCTCACCAGCAGAAAACACGGAAGCCTGGCCAAGGACGCACAGCTTCCATGACCTCAAGCAAGACTCAGCACTTCACAAAAAGAATGTATATAAAGAGGTAAGAGGAAAGAGGCAAGAAAAAGCCTTGAAAATCTGTGAGACGATATAGGAGAAAGAGAGAGAATTGCTCTGGGTGGGTCTTCAAGGTGGACGTGTGGCATTTGCTGAGAGAATGGTACCAGAGAACAATGCCCTCCATGTCAGCACACATCTAATAGTCCCTGAGGAGAGCACTCGATGGGACCGACAGGAAGTGTAGTGTGGGAAGCTGAAAAGGGTTTAAGAATTTAATTTTTTTTTTCCCTCCAATGCAATGAGTTAAAATAAAGCCAGGATATAACAAACATTGCAACAATAATTTTTCTTTTTGGAGAGGTTTTTGCTATAGTGCGTGTGTGCTCGCCAGAAAGACAGAGAGAGACAGAAAGACAGAAAGCGAGAAATCACCCCCCCGGGGGGTGGGGGGGATGGCCACGCCGCAATCCCTTCTCCTCCATTCTCCTCTCGGGATCTTGGGCACACATGCATCCGGCATGAGTTTAAGCCATTGGGTCTGGGACTCGAACCGCAGTTGGCTACATGGGAGTTCAGCGACATAGCCATTATGCTAACT